ATTTAGATTAATTCAAATTATGTGGATAGTGGTTCATTTTGTTACTGACAATGCCGTAGAGGCAGTACCTGAAACTTGGTATAAAAAAAATCAAACCTGTGCTTGGCCGCTTACATCAAAAAATTTGAAAAAATATATTGCAAAACAAGATTATCCTGACAAAAATAATTATAAGTGGTTTCCTGCAAGGGTTCTTGGAAGGAAATATGGTATTTACATATTTTTGAAATATAAATTGATTTTACCTATAACATTTAAATTTATATATTATTTAATTATATTATCTATTGTTGGTTTGTGTAGCAACTATAGAAGGAGCTCAAAGCAAGTCGAAAATTGCACAAATTCTGTCTGAATTATCTGCCAACGAGGAAGATTTACAAAATAAATCCAAACGTATTGGAAGTCCTCCTTTGATAAAGCCAAGTAAATGTTATTTTTTTTAACTTTATTTTTAGTTGTTTTTAGTTTAATGTTAAAGATATAATCATAAATGCTATGAATAATAAAGTATTGTTATTTTTATAGGTAAAATCAGAAAAATAGAAAATAAAATAAATTATAATTTAAAAACTAAAATAAATTATAATAATGATACTCCTGAATCGGATATTGACAATTCCGACGGTGACCCTGACTACTCCCAACTTATGATTGTAGATGGTATGTATAATACTATAATAAGAATTAAGTACCTATGATTAAAAAATTAAAATTAACATTAAAACTCTGTAGGTAAACTGAGAAAAACTGATAATCAATCAAAACGAGTGTTTGACAAAATTGACAATAATGATTCAGATATTGAGATTTCTCACAATGGCTCTGACTATTCACAACCTCAGATTATTGTAGATGGTATGTAATACTAAAATAAGAGTTAAGTACCTATACTTAAAAAATTAAAATTAATATTCAAATTCTGTAGGTAAAATGAGAAAAACTGATAATCAATCAAAACATGTGTTTGACAAAATTTACAAAAATTTACAAACTCTTATGAACAACTCTGATTCTAACATAGGTAAACAATAATGTTAAACTTTATTTACATATTATTCATTTTGTGTAATGACCAATTGATTAATATAGTTCTAGAGGAAATTAAAACAAATGGTCTGCACGGACATGAAGAAACAATTACACAGTTGTTATCTTCCATTTAAGTCGAAACCCTTGACCATTGTAAATTTACAAAAGCAGATGGTATATAATATTATAAATATTATTATTTTTCAATATATTTTAATTTTAATTAAGTTTAACTATATATAGGCACTAATAATATATGTATATTTTTCAACAGATCCAGTAGTATACCATAGTGTCACAAAACAAAAGTTTATTTTGCACTCCCCAATAAGACAAAATACATAAGGTGAAAGAGGAAGACAATTATTGATAAGATCTTTACCAAATTTAGAGCAGCAGATGTCTTCAACTAGTATTCCCAACCAGCACACGCCACATAGTATAAAAAAAGTTGTTTCCCTCACAAAACTCAGATGGATCTAAAGGTACAACTATATTTTTTATTGATATATTTTTTCATACAATGTACTTTAATTTATGTAATCATTAATAATTATAGAACCAACTACTGCAGTGTCTCGAAGTGGTACAAATACCAAATATGATTTTGGGATGACTGATTCAGGTATATTTTAACTAGGAACACTTTGCTATGGTATAATATTTTGGTATTATAAAGTATGTTATGTTTAATCTGCACATATTATATGTTAGGATAAACATATACTATTCATGGATTTATATAAAATTTTATATTTATAAATTGTATGTTATTTGTTACAGCCTTTAAAAATTTTGTTATTAACTCATTAACAAAATTCAAAAACGAAATAGCTGCAATACACTCAACGGTCAACTCAACACATCTAGCATTACATTCATTTTTAAATGACTCTGGTCAAAAAACAGCAATCCAATTAGCTTCTCAATATGCAACCAGTTATAGTTTGGATGATGTGTTTCCAATAACTAATGAAGAAGAAATGAAAATGTTCAATTGTAAAATACAGAATGATAAGCAGTTTAAATTAGAAATGGTAATTTTATAATACAAGATATCAGATATCTATTCTTTAGTCAGTTATATATTTATTATGTATATATAGATAGATATTAGATATATTATTATATATAACTAACTAAAGAATATATATATATATTCAGTAAAAATTTGTTATAATTGTATATGAACTCCTTAAAGGAATATTTTGTGCCATTACAACCAACAATCTATTTTAACTAAATTCACAACAAATAGTAGCTTAATACATTTGGTTATACTGCAATTAGTGTATACTCATTTCCATTATGATCAAATTTCAAATATATACACTTTGGAGACACTAATTGAAAAAAGATTATTATTACTAGAGAACAATAATAATTTATATTGTATTTTAAATTGTGCATATTTTTTTGTTGCATTTAAAATAATTTATAGTTTATTCAAATAAATAGGCATAATATGAGTCTGATATTTACATACAAATATGTTCCTTAATTATCACCATCATAAGTTCAATATAATATATTTATAATAATTAATAAAGATGAATTCTAAATAATTTTTTATACTGTATACATTTAAATATATATATATACCTATATGATATTATAATATATTAATTTTTTTATCTCATAATTATTGTTAAATTTTTTTTATACGGGTATCAAAGTTATCCTTATTAGTAGGAACCAAAGATGTCGGGGATAGTGTCCGTCGTCTTATAAGCCGTATGTTTAGTGATGATATCCTCACACTGTATTCTCTACAAGAAAAAAAAACAAAAAATGAATTTTTCTAAATTGCCTACTTATCAACTAATGATTGGTATGTATTTTAAATGTATGAACAATAATTAGTATATTATCTGACATATGACTAGTAAATAGGCTTCCAAGCAAAACATTTAAGTAGATTAGCCACAACCTGACACATCTAACATTGTGGAATTTATGTATTATTATTGTAGTATGTACCTATTGCTTAATAATATTAGCATTTAATATTAAATACTATTGTGACAAAATTTAAATTGTCTGAGTATTCAATTACAGATTTACAATTACTTGAAATCAAAAACTCAGCAATAATATCAGCTGTAAATTAATTAGGTATTTTTTTATTATACATTTTAATTAACATTTGTATTAAAAAAAAGTACTCTGCATAAGCTATTAGAGTTAATATATTTTAATTTTAATCATTATAGATAATTTATTGATGTCTTCTTTTGTAAATATGTTTATTTACAATACCACATTTTACATAATTTGTAACCGAAGTTGTATATATTATCACAAAGACCAATTTATTTATATCCTGTACTACCTACGCCTACTTGACCATTATGAATTATGAAATAATAATAAAAAAATACAAATATTATTATTATCTCTAATTATCTTATTATATGAATTATATTTAAAAAAAAATTGAATGTATTAAATGAAAAGGTGTGAACTAAATCTATAACTGTTTTGTATGTTTCAGATGTATTGAGAATTCACCAAAAATTCAAATCAAAAATTGATAAAGATTTTAATGACCCGATGGCCAATTGGTTAAATCACTCAAAGTTCAGAATCTTAAACAAACTAGCTGCAGCAGAAAAAAATAAATAATTGTCAATTATGTATATTATATATGTCTTACCTAACAATATACAGTGAAGTAAATGTAAATTGTGTTTTTATAATAAAATATTAGCTTTATAACCATGTAATGGAGTTACCCTAAGTTCCTAAACAAGTATAAACAATAAACAACAATTAGTCAGTGTAAATAATAAATATGAAAAACACTTTAAATCAATGTTTCAATAACATAACATTAAATACATTTGAATGTTATATAGCATTTAAAATACAAGTATAGACACATTCTTACAACATTATTAATCTAATGTTACGATAAATTTATAAATTTAAATTTAATTTAATATTAAAAAGGTGGACAAAACATGACTATATAACTTTATGTTAACTTTCCAGTAATATTATTAAAATAAGATATAAACGTTTCTATAACATTATACGTTGCTTTTCAAATCTTATAGGAATATTTCAATAACTTTATTTTGCTGTCTGGGAAATTTAAATCTTTGCTCTATCTGATATATTATTTGTTATATAGCATTGCAATTGTGATTATGAAAACTTATACATGGATAGCTCTTGACAAATGTATACCTTCCAACAAAATTGCTAAAAACTAGGACTTAACATACTTGGTTTTACTTTTTTTGAATTTTATGTTAACTCAATATGCATTTAGTTCCCTTTTAAGTAGGTAAAATTGTCAATATTTAATACTTCGTTTATTTTATTTTTTATGCACATAATCACTATAATAAGTGGTAATAGAAAATCTATGTTTATTAATTGGTTGGCTAAAACAAAATATTTATTTTAAAAATTATATATTAATAAATGATATAATATTTTTATTTTTTGTACAACATTGATTTAACAGACATATTTATTTTTAAGGCATTAAAATCAAAAAGGTTGCAGACTCTTGAAGTTGATTTTTATATTATTAATGTCTGAAATTAAGAAAATCAAGATGATAATTTTTGCTTATGAGTAATAATTGTTAGAAATATTACATTATAAATAGAAAATGAACAGTTTTAGAATAAAGTTTATTACATGATGTAATATTTAAAATTAATTACATTAGAGTCAAGTAAAATCCAATTTACTTATTAAATATTCCGATCTTAAATAAATTATATAAGTAATAACGTAATATCAACATAACTAATGGAATACATTTAGTAATTAAAATGTTGATACTTTTTTAGTATAGAAAAACCACCTTATCATGAAATAATAAAGTAAGATTATAATATTGAATATTCTATTATTCTATAAACATTATAGTATTCCCACTTTATTTAAAAAGTGCAATATATAATATGTAATTATAATATTTAAAATTAAAATAAATGTCCAATAAACTACTTAAAAATAAGCAAATACAACTATCATTAAAGAATTCAATTAATAACGAAACTTCATAATATCTGTAATTCCAGATGGTTCTAAAGCTCTTAACAAAATGCGTTTTTTTTATTTTCTTCTATTATTTTCTTTAGTTCTAATACTCTTGCTTTCCTTTCAGAGATCTATAAAATAAAAAATAAAATATTCTAATAAGCCACTTATATAAGGATTTTCTATTTAACGTAAGACACTCATTATTTTGGAAAGTAAATGTTTTTGAAAAAACATAATTTGCATAATATTAAGTTATCATTAAAAATAAAATAAAACAATGTTTGGAAGAAAATATGGGTTACATCCAGTGCCGGCCCAAGATGCGGGTAAACCGGGCGGTTGCCCGGGGCGCTACTTTTTTTAAGGGCGCTTTTAATATACGAATATTTTATAAATTTTAGCGTAATATTTATTCAAATTGAGTATTGACAATATTATATCTAAATGACCAAATTACCCATGACAGAATATTCTGTTATATAATTTTTTTTATAGATTTACTTCACTTTCCAGTTTTTATTATTATATTACAAATAATTAAAAAATAATATAGGTACAATAATATATAATCATTAACTCGGGAAAACCAAAAAAGTATGTGTTACAGCCTTACAGCCGATACGTCTGAGATATAAGATAGTTGCTATATTGGACTGTGTTGGTTATTATTATATTTATTAATCGTACATTTACCTATCGCCTTTTATTGTCGTTATCTGTAATAATGTTCGTATTTATGAATACGATGTACAATTATTTCTCATTTTTGTTTTGCTGGTAAAGTTGAACAGTTGTTAGTGGTGTCACCGGTATCGGTCAAAAATATGTAAGYATTTTTAAATAATAGTAGCAATTTTGAATCTACGCTTTTGTAATAATAAATTATAAACAGCGCTCATAAATTAATGCTATTTAATTTAATATATTAATTGGTAGACAAAAAATGGCACCAAAAAAAGCTAGTGGTTATCAAAATCGTAAAAGGAAACTAGAACAGCAATTACAAGTTGAAAAATATCCAAAAATTTCATCATTTTTCAAATTTAATATGAACGTACAAAACCCTAATATGACATTTAAGAGTGAATTAGAAGATCGTTCTAATGAAATAAATGATTTTAAAAATAGTTCTAGTAATGACGAAGAATGTAGTAATATTCCTAATATAGGTACTCCCGAATGATCCAAAAAATATCGATGAATCTTTTGACGTAATAACTAGTTCAAAACATTTCAATGATATAGCATATTGGCCTGAACAATTAACATCTACTGACAAAGATTATTTGATAACAACAGGACCCAAAATGTCTATTGATTATATGAAAAATTTTAATTTTCCTAAAGATAATAATAACCGTAGTTTTTCATATTCGTTATTTTTTCGAACTATAAGTAACGGAGAAAAATATCTAAGAAAATGGCTAGTGTACTCCGAAACAGTTAATGCAGTATTTTGTTTTTTTGGTAAAATATTTGATCCTACGAGTCGATCTAATTTAGCCAAAGATGGGTTAAAAGACTGGAAACATGTACACGGGTATTTAAAAACACACGAGAATTCGCCTCATCATATCAAATGTGCTAGTATGTGGTTGGAAACTAATATAAGGCTTAAAGAAAACAAATCAATCGAAGCAGGCTTACAAAAACAAATAGTTGCTGAAAGAGAACATTGGAAAAAAGTTTTAGAACGATTAATTGAAATTACAATTTTTCTTGGGAAAAATAATTTAGCATTTCGAGGTTATTCGGACAAGTTATTTACACATCATAATGGAAATTGTTTGGGTCTTGTCGAGTTGATAGGAAAATTTGATTTAGTAATAAATAAACACGTTCGTCGTGTCATGTTTCGTGAAACTCATGTACATTATTGTGGAAAAACTATTCAAAATGAAATTATTAATATAATTGGGAACTTAACACGTGACAATATACTAAGTCGAGTTCGCAAAGCTAAATATAATAGTATTATGTTAGGTTGTACTCGAGATATTAATCATGTTGAACAACTTTCTTTGACTTTGAGAATTTTTGATACCGACGAAATGTGCATTAAAGAACATTTTATAGAATTTGAACCAATATTCAACTCGTCTGGTGAAGGAATTTATGAGTCTATATTAAGTATGTTGAAAAGTTGTGAACTAGAACTAAATGACTGTAGAAGTCAGGGATATGACAATAGGGCAAACATGAAGGGCAAAAATAAAGGCGTTCAAGCACGAATATTAAGAGCAAATCCTCGAGCTTTTTTTATGCCATGTGGTTGCCATTCACTGAATTTAGTAGTCGGAGACAGTGTTTCTTGTTCTATTGAGTCAAAGAACTTTTTTGGGACGATTCAAAGAATTTATGTTTTATTCTCTGCATCTGTTGGACGTTGGCATATATTAAAAAAAAAAATGTAAAATCTTTAACTGTTAAGCCACTATGCGAAACTCAATGGGAATGTAGAATAGATTGTATTAATGCTATTAAAAATGAAATATCACAAATAATAGATGCACTGATAGAGTTAACTGAATTAAATACTGCTGACATTTAGTTATTTCTGAAGCTAATTCATTAATTCAATTTATAGAGAGATTCGATTTTTTAGTCGATATTTTATCAAAAGTTAACCTTGTTAGTAAGTTAATGCAAAGTTAAAAAATGGATATTAGGACCGCGGTTTTACTTTTGGATAATTGTACAAAGGTTTTACAAGATTATAGAATAACTGGACATACAGAAGCTATAAAATCTGTTGAAAAATTAGCTTTACAATTAAATGTTGAACCGAAATTTAGAGTCACTCGTGTAATACGTAGAAAAAAACAATTTAATTATGAATCTAGAGACGAAGCTTCAGAACCCCAAAACCCAGAATTATATTTCAAACAGAATGTATTTAATAACATATTAAACCAAGCAATATCTTCTATTTCTGAACGTTTTGAAAAAATTAAAGAATTTTATGATACTTGGGGATTTTTATACAATATAAAATAAAATAAAAGCCACGAAGATCTATTAAAATCTGTAACGAGACAAAACGGAGTGCCTCGTGTAAGTGGCGCACTCTCGTATCTCGATACCGTATTAGCCTAATATCTAGCCACTGCGCGCTCTCGCGCACATCACGTGGAATACAACGGCCGAGAGCGTACAGTATTTTCATGAGGCGCAACACAGAGGGCGCAGCCGAGCAACTGATTCCGGAAAAGGACTCAACCCGCCAGAAAAACGCTTTTCCACAAGAAACCCAGTGACTTAGCAACAAACGGTTTTCGGATTCGGCATCAACACCTTTAGATATACCGATTTACCGCCACCAAGTTCTCAAAGGCATGACGGAACTTGCCGAACACGTGAAAGTCAAAACACCATTACTGCAAATGAAGCTAATACCCACAATAGCATAAGTACGAGCTAGTAACCACTTTCGTCCCTGTCGAGATCGGTGAATGTTGTGAGCTGGACGGTAATAAACTGCTGTTATACATGGACACACTCACCAAACAACAAACAGCACTTATCCTAGCCTGCACAAACCGGACGGTAATAAACTGACGTTATACTCGGGTGTGCCACAGGCTAGTGTTCCCGAGAAGTAATTTCTAATAAGAAATAATTGTCATTCATTAAGTGGACTTCCAGAGAGGAGCAACCACAGATACCGGGGATCAGGACAGTGGATAGCTAACACCACTGAGGGTTGTCGACTTTTTCGATTTTAGTACGCTGCCAAGTACCACCCAGCACTCCAAGTGTTGCGACGTCGGGAACCGCTCAAATCAACTGCCAAACCATAAACGTGAGTTTTATGTAATAATTCCCACCCTTTTATGTAAGTCCCGATACCTTATTTTCACTGTACACTCTCTGAGTACCAAATATTTTGTTGTGAAAATTGTTAAATAATGAAACTATTGTATAATTTGATATAAAATAAAGAATACCGATTAAATACAAATTGTACGAATGTAAATCATTACAAATCGTGTAAGGATCTACATTTAAAACTTGACGATCAGAATAAAGATAAGACACAGTGCGAACCGAATGGTATAGATTTGTGTAATAAAATTGAGATTGTATGATCATTATTCTCTAAAAAAGATAGCTGTCCATTGGAAATCTTAACATTTATTTATGATAACAAATTACAAGATACCTTACCAAACTTATGGGTCGCTTTAAGAATTATGATGACAATTCCTGTAACTACTGCAAGCTGCGAGAGAAGTTTCAGCAAATTGAAGTTAATAAAAACGTACTTGAGATCAACAATGACAGAAGAACGTCTCAACAATTTAGCATTAATCAGTATAGAAAATGATATAGTTTCTAAATTAGATCTAAACGAAGCAATACAACATTTTGCTGATTTAAAATCTAGAAAAAAAATGTTTATTTAAAATAAATTATTATTAGTAATATTTAATATATTGTACACGATTAAAGAAATAATCTGAATACATATTAATTATAAAAATAATAAATTCTATCCAAAAAGTTTTGCAATTCTTTACCTATCCATAAATATAAGAATTTAAAACAAAATATGTAGGTAAGTATAAAAGTATTAAATGTACTATAGAGCATTTGATTAAGGGCGCCTTTTAAAAAATTGCCCGGGGCGTCAAAATACCTTGGGCCGGCCCTGGTTAAATCCCATTTGTGCTCTGAGGTATGTGGATAGATGCACCCAAAAGTTAAGTTAAGGTACTACCTATGCTCATACGCATACAATGTTGTTGATGTGATTCATAAAATTGATTATTTATACCTTGATAGATACTAGATTAACTAGATTAATAGATTGTATTACTTAAATAATAATTGTCAAAATACTATAGTTAAAACTTTAAACTTTGTAATTTTGTCAAAATTTTGTGTTTAAATATTCAATAGTATTCGGCTCATGAATATGACTTTAATATCAATTAGAATTGATTTATAATGATTCGTTTTTACATATGCACTACAATTTTTCAACGCATTACCATTTCATATTTGCCTGAATTTCTATTGAGGTGGAATTGAAAGTTACGAAAAATTAAACATTTACAATTTTTAGTAGTATTTGTTATTTTAAAATCCACTTTTATACACACACAACTCAAGTATAATAATAGTTAAGGACTTGTAGATTATGCAAAGTTTGAAAACAGAGTAAATAGTTTGGGCCATCAAAACAGGTTTGAACTTGAGACACTCAATACATTAACCCTACTGAAGTGCCATTGCGTCATCGAATTTTTGATACGCGTCAATAATTTTAAGATTTTTTAAATAGTAAATTCATAAATTTCTTATAAATTAAAATGGTATTTTTTATTTAAATTTTTATACTTATAAATAATTATTAATTTTTTGTGCATATTATTCCTTTTTTACTTTCTACAACTTCCATTGCCTATTTATAACTGATAAACTAATTTCTACACAATTGAAATTTTATACATTATGTAAATACTCCAAAAAACATTCAACTTTAGAAAATGAAACTATGAATGTATGCTGTCATTAAAAAAGTTAAGAATTTAAAAATTGCGATGGTAAAAATCATTAATACATATTTTTAAAAAGATTTTTTTTGATTTTAAGCGTGTAAAAAAAAATATTTTTATAAACATTAATAGTTTTTGAAATAATGAGTGTTTTACTTAAGAACTTATGAATTATGATCATCCAGTAAACTTACTTTCCTTTCAAGACTTTCAATAGTTTTGGATTTAAATTCAATGGTTGCATTAATTTTTTGTAAACTTTGATCTGTTTTGATCCCTTGACAAGCAGAACACATTTCAATATCATCTAAAGTGTCCTCAAAATAACCTATACATCTTTCATGGACAATTCCATCCATACCAAAACATTCTTCAATATCATCAATTTTTTCTAAAAGATTTTCTAACTCTTTCATTGTTGTGATAGGGTTATTATATTCGTATTTCTTCCCATAAACTTGTATAATTGGCACAAGACTATTGAAAAAAAGAATCTTTTTCACAGTTAAATCAAACATGTCTCGTTGATAAAAACCTGTTACATTTTGTGTACTAAGATGTTTAACCCTCCAAAATAAATTCGGAAGTACAATACTTTTATAAATTTCAAAAATAAATCCATTGTCTTCAGTATCATCATCAATTATTATACATTCTGAGGTATTTGAATTATTATCTGAATAAGAATCATGTAGTACCTCTGGATTTCTGGCTAATGAAATAGATTCATGTACCTCTGAATTTCTGGCCAATGAAATACATTTTGAAATTACTGGAGTCTTTATTTTGGGCAATTCAGATGAATAAGGTGTATCTGTGGTAAAAATAGGTTTAAAAAATATAGTTTTATTGTCAATAAATTCTGAACTGTTCAATTTTAATGTTGGTTCTACATCGCAAGTTGAAATGTTTTGATATGTGTCTTCTGTAACAGAAGTATACTTCTTATTTTCATTTATACATAAATACATTTTTTCAAAAGTGGCTTTTGATTTATGCATATTACATTGAAGTATTATAAATAAATTTATGAAAAAATTATTATTTTTATTTTTAAATAATGAAAATGTTTATGAATAGGTAATTCATTAGAAACATTTTAACCTATATTTATAAGAATATTTTACAAACCTGGTACATTGTTTCTGATTTTCTTTGATAACTGTTTATCAGCTTCATTGGCTTTTGGTCTTTTTAATTTACCTCCATATGTTCTCAATTCTAGCATAGTATTAGATTTTGGCATAATATTAGATGATGATGATGGCATAGCATCAATTGGTACCGGCAAAGAATCAGGTGATAATGATTTTACTTTTTCATTCAAACCATTTACCAATAATTCGGGTTTGAGTATGTCCTGAGGTCTGAAATGTCTTTCACATACAATACTGTTTACAGTCAACTGTAAACCTAAAATTGAGCTCCACTTATTTACACAATCCTACAAAATATACAATACAATCTTCAATGAACAGACAAAACAAAAGTTATTTCGAAACAATATTAATGAATGATTAAAAAAAATACTTTTGTTGGTGCRAAAAGGGAAATATCTTCAACCTCTTTATACGTTTCAGTATTAGTTATACATCCTGGTACAGAACAATAAGCTTCAAAATCCTAAATTTATAAAATAAATTACATTTACCTATGCATGAATATACATATATATATTATGTAACATTAAAATAAGAAATCGTTGATCTAATTGAACAAAGACTAATTTTGTTCACAAAAGTATTTAATTATACTTAATATACTATATAATGCTAACCAATACTTGATAATAGTTTAAACTATATTTTTTATAAACTTTGATAAATAGTTATTTTAAGTTTGACAAAAATGTACATTTAAATGAAAAATAATGTTGAAGTTGCTCTGCTGAACCCTCATTATTGAGTAAGTGACAAATATGTTTGTTAAATTCTAATTTAATTATAAATCATTAAATACAAAAACGATTTTATGGAAGTAAAAAAGACAGTCTGCCTTCTTATGTTACGAAGTAGTTTAATTAATAATACAGAGGGCGTGAAAAAGGTAGGCTATAACTTTCAACTTATCTAAATATTTTTATAATGTTATTGTAGTAGTAAAATATAATTTATTATATCTCAGATGGTTTTTACCTCACAAATAATATTTTTGATTTCCAAGAAAATAACTTACATTGTATTCTTCATTTAAAAAGATAATTATGTTAATATCTAAACTTAAAATATCTAAAGATAACATTTTGATTATTTATTTATAGATTTTTGGGTTTTAGCAAGAACAATGAGGAATTTTATACTAAATGTTCGAGCATTAACAATAAAAATTGAATAGCTTATAAACTTAATAAATGTTACACTCTACAAAATTAATTTACACAATTTTTGCCATTCAAACAAATTGTATTAAAGTTGAAACTGAAAGCAAGTATAAAAAAATATTGTAGATACCTAAATGTTTTTAAGAATTATAAGTTGCTATGAAAACAACTTAAATGTGTTCTTGTAATAATTTGACAGAAATTTGCAAAAGACCGAGTAATATATATATATATATATTATTGCTTAGCACACAATTTAAAAACTAACATCTAATGCATAACAGGTTATTAATTATGTTGCATACATTAAAGTTTTTCTTAATTTTAAACAAAAACGAAATATTTCTGAGAAGATCATATAAATATTTTATAAGACAAAAAACACCTAGGAATAAACTACTTAAATGAAGTGGCTCAAGATAGAGAGAAATGGGTGGAAGTTTGTTTCACAGCTATAGGCCTTCAAAGCTGATAAAATAAAATAAGAATAAAAAAAATGTATTATTCTTATAATTAAATATGATATTATTAATGTAAAGTTAATTATACTTTAAACCTTAGCGTAACGAGTAGTCGAGTCAATATAAACCAATAAGGGAGTTTGATTAGATTCCACATTTGCAATATAATTTGAGGATGAACAAGATGGTTTATTTGCATGAATAAGCCCACTATTGACACGTAAACTTGATGATAAAATATTTCTTGTATCCATCACATCTGTTAAAATTATACATCATGTTTTAGAAATTAAACTAACATTTATTTTCATTTTTTCACAGTTATTTCTAAGGATGAGCCAATACTTGAACCGAGGCCTATATCGGTGGTATCGGTTTTATC